CTCTCTCTCTCTCTCTCTCTCTCTCTCTCTCTCTCTCTCTCTCTCTCTCTCTCTCTCTAGGTAGGTACGCCTCACCTAAGAGGCAAGGTCATGAGGGTGGCATACACCAACCAGGCAGCCAAAACACGTTTGGGGGCACACCCAGCCCACCCTCGGTTGAGTTTAGGGTAGGTGCCTTTGCGGCATGACCAAAGGTTAAGGGTTGAAAAGAGACCCAAAATTGTAATCCATACTCTCAGCCTAGCTCAGTTGGAGGTCATTGCTTGAGGTGCTTCGCAGTTCAAAGGATTCAGCAAGACCAAAGGATCAATGTGCACCATCGGTTCAAAGATCGATTGTGGAGCGTGCTAAGTCCTAAGGAGGTGACCTTAGACAAAGGTTTAAAAAGTCTTCGCAGTTTTGTTTATCAATTTTATTTTCAATTCTTGATTCATATTTGTTTTAGAAGTCCTAATTGTATTAAGAGTCCTATTTAAATTAGGATTCCTACTTGGACAAGGACTCCAAATTAGATTAGAATTCCTAATAGTAATTATGAGTTTGATTTCAGTTTTTCTTTTTTTTAATAAAGTTTATTTAGCAATAAGAGTTAAAGATCCTAAATTGTAGTAGGACTATTTCAATCTTGTATGAACCAGACTGGATCGACAGGTTCAACCGATGAACCGCTACCTTCTCTGTTCCGGCAATGAACCAAGGAAATCTTCGAACCGGTCTAAACAGGTGAACCGGCCAGTCCAAAAGCAAATATTGGACTTGCCGGTTCACCAGTTCAGATGTGAATCGGCCAGTCCAAACGTAGTCGGAGAAAAGATACTTTTTGCAACATTTTTATTTTTTTATAAGAAAGAAAGGCCTTGAGCGGGGGTGTTTTGATCTTATTAAATATATAAAAGGGTTAAAAGGAAAAAAACAACTTATGTACTCTCTCTCTCAATCTCTCTCTCTCTCTCGATCTCTCTCGCTCACTCAAACAACCAGCCTCCACCAATGAGATGTCTGGCCAAATTCCGGTAATATTCCGACCAATTTCAACACCAAGTTATTTTTTATATATTCTAGTATTTATTATTTTATTATTTTATTTTAGAGCTTAGAAAATACAAAAATAAATGAAAATATATGTTGCCTTGCCGGTTTTAGGAAATTAAAAATTAGGGTTTTACGATTTTGGAGGTATTTTTCATTTCGGTTGCAATTTTAGGTTGCTTTAAAGGCTTTTACAATTAAATTTTAGGTTGTTTTAAAGGGCTTTTACAATTTTGTAAAAGCCCCTCTAAATATTACCCAAAAATATAGAAAAAGGAAACACCCTATATTTTTGGGTTTTTCCATATATATATCGTTTTAATTTTTAAAATTTTAATATTGTAATTTGTAAGGACTTTACAATTAAAATTTGTAAATATCCCCTAAAATATGAATCCAAGTAGTTTTAAAGGGCTATTACAATTTGTAAAAACCCCTCAAAATATTACTCAAAAATATAGAAAACGGAAACACCCTAATATTTTTGGATTTTTTTCAACATATACAGTTTTAATTTTAAAAATTTACATATTGTAATTTGTAAGGACTTTACAATTAAAATTTGTACAAAACCCCTAAAAGGTGAATCCAAGAAACAAAAAAAAAAGAAAAAAAATTGTTTGGTGCAAAATTGCAATTCTTTTTTTATACTTTCGGTTTTTACCTTACAACTTGCAAGGACTTTTATATTTTGCGTAAGTCATTAAAACAAAAAATGAACCGAAAACACAATAAAAGTTAATAAAGAAAAATGTCTAGGGAAATTTTTTGTTTTTAAATTTTTTATTCAATTTCGGTTTTGGAAAAAAAGCAAAACAGATAAATCCTCAAGAAAAGAAAATAAAGAAAAACAGAAGTAAAAGAAAGAAAGAACATAGAATATTGTTTTTTTTTTTTAATGTTTTTTTTTTTTTTGAATAAATTGTGGTGGTGCACTTATTTTCTCCCTACTTATGATTGTCGTTCATGATTAACGTTTTAGTATTATACTATGAGCTTTCTGTTTTGTGTTCTCTCTACAAATTTGAGTTAATGAAAAACAGGTAGGAACCCTAATCCACACTGATTTACCCAAAAAAAGGAATATATTTGTTTATCATACAATAATCAATGATGTTAAGACAAGACTGGACTGGCTGGTTCGAACCAAAACTAGTGAACCCCTGACATGTCATGTCCAGTCTACCCCATGGACCGAATGGTCCACAAAATTAGTGTTGGACTAGGTTCTAGACCGGCCAGCCCACTAATCTAGCACTGAATGACCAAACTAACCGGTCCTGATGGGGCATATTTTTTAAAGGCCCTCATTAGATGTAAAATTAGATGGCTTCGGGGAGAGTCACAAAGTCAGAGAATTTTTTTTTTTTGAACTTTGTGTCTAATCAATGACACTCTTACAACCACTCATTTTGAAATTTAAGGGCGATAATGATTGTGACCTCCATGTACAAAAGATAAATGGTCTCTTTGTTGACAATCCCTTTTAAATATATTGGGTTGTTTTGGTCTTCTATTACTTTCGGTTGAAAAGAGGGTTTTTAGGGAATCTCTCTCTCTCTC